GCATAGCGAGACGGGTGTTGTCATCAGCCCCATAGACCTTGGAGGTCTCCTCATTCCATCTTTCCAGGAACTTGCTCAAAGGCTCGTCCCTGCCCTGCTTAACCGACAGCAGGTAGGAGAAATGCTTCTTTGTCCTTGCCCCTGCGGCGAAGTGAGTGAGGAAGCGGGTAGCTAACTCCCTCCATGAATCAATGCACTCATCGGGGAGATCATTGAACCACTCGTATGCCTCCCCTTCCAAAGTGGAGGGAAACATACGGCAGATATACTCATCGCTAGCGCCCAGCATATACATGCCGGACTGGTAGCGGGTATAGTGCTCCTGGGGATCAGTTTTACCCCCATAAAGCTGAATGTTGGGCCCCTTATACTTTGGGGGTATAGGGGCCTGCATGATCCGTGTGGTAAAGGGGGTTGTAGTCCTTACCCTCACAGTGACAGGCTCCTGGTTGATCTGAGCCTGGAGTTGCTGGACCTGGAGCGTCAGTGCTTCCAGCTGGGCATCACGTGTCGTTGGCTGGGGCGGTGGTGGTGGTACCGCTGCCACTGATGCGGTCCGCAGCTCATTGACCTGCTGAGTCAGGAGGCGGATTTGTTCCTCCCGCGGATCCACCTGTCGCTGGCGCCGTGGTGGAGATTCAACCTGCCGCTCTGGAGTCCTTCTCCCAGGTTGTTGCTGCTGTCGCCGGGGGATGTTGAGAACTGGGGAGTCTGCCTGGTTAATCCCCCGGATGTTGGCAGACAGGCGTTGATTCGCCATAGATCTGTCCCCCAATCTAGAGAAGATGGGACGTTTTCCCACTTCGATCCAGGGATTGGAATTGTCATCCTGTCGCAGGGAGGGGGACTGCGAGGAGTCCTCGGTGGTGACAGCATAGACACCTTCATCATTGGTGCAGCCGTAATCAACGCGGCGTGCAGTATACCTGGACGACAGTGGAGGTGGTGGCGGCGCCATTCTCTGTGGTGCCGCTGTGGGACGAGAAGTCCCCGCTTGTTGTGCCAGGGGCACAGCGTTCACAGGTGCTGCGGAAGCCACCTGACGGATCGGGGGAGAGTGGGTCCCCGGAGTTGTCCTCTGGCGGGGAGGGGATTGATAGACCATTTGTGTTGGTCTCCCCTCCACCAGAGGGGCCTCAATAGAGCCTATCCTCAGAGACCGGGATCTGGAGTTCGTCGGTGAGATAGGTCTGGTGGCATGTGGAGCCCCAGTAGCCGCAGGTTGAGATTGCAGCGTGGGGAGCACCTGCTGCAACCCGGTGATGAGGGCGCCAACCGCCGCAGAGGGATCCACCATCAGAAGGTTCTGGAATTGTGGGATCACCTGTGCGGACGACATTGTCGCTGCATCACAACTAATCGAGATCTGTTGACACAGATCTGGGGAAGCACGCTGAATCTGACTGCGTAGATCCGCAGAAGCTTCAGCGACTTCTTTTCCCTGGCGGCCTTTCTGGCGCCAGAAGTAGCAGTAGTTTCTAGCGAGGGCTCCACCCTTGCGACGGCGGCAGCAGCACGTCGACTTCTCAGAGTTCTCTTTCCAGCCATTGTTGCAGAAGAGTTTGTTATAGATCTAGAGAAAACCGGGAGGATCTGACTTGTTCACAGTTCGACTCTCAACGAGAGCACCAAAAACTGATGGATCGTCGAACCAGGGGTGGCCGGAATCCACCGAGAATGAGAGTAGGAAGGAGAGCGAATTGATCGGAAAGTGCAGATCGAAAAAGCCTTAGTATATAAGTCTCAAGAGTGCAATAGATTAAGCATCCCTTTCCACAAGTTGGAAGGTGATATTTATACTAAGGAGAAAGGGGAAATACTTGGAGGCCAAGCCAAAGATGCTAGTCTAGTAGGAGAAGGACACGTGTAAAGTTATTCTAACAAACTAACAACCTACTTTGATGAGAAGCAGCCACGTGTAAAGCTGATTGGAGAGAGAACCTTTGATAGCTGGCTGATTGATTATTCTTCTAACAGAATTCCCGCCAGAAGTCCCGTGTGGGTGCACGTGGACAACCTGGAATATTCCTTCAGGGTAGAGAGTGACGTGGCGGTGTCTCCTTGCGAGATAAATTTTTGCGGATCCCATCTACGGACTTGGCGCTTTATTCTTACCTTGGGGACTACTGAGGTCGATATCTGAGAGCTCGGGCTCGTGTTGAGAGGATCCGCCCTTTTGTCCTTTGTCCTGGGGATAGTTGACTGTCTGGCGCTTGATCATCGTTGACCACACGCTTGACTCCCGGAGTCAGATCTGGTACCGACCTCGGGTGCATCGAGGTCGGGCTCATAACTTGCCGAGTCTGATTGATCTCTGAGCCTGATGTCCTCCCGACCTCGGGGTCGGGATCGGTTGACTTTGTCATCCACTGAGTTTGGTTGGTTCCTGAGCTTGGTGTTTCCCCGACCTCGGCAGTCGCGGTCGGGTCAGCCTTGGATTGTGGACTTAGTACCTTCGCGCCTTTGACGGACCTTCAATGCATTCTATCGGCGATCATGATATCCCTAGGGTGTATGGGAATATACTCCATCAATGACATAGACTTAAAGACTTCTTTTGGCACCACTTGGACATTGAAAGACATTCAGGTCATTCAAAGCCTTAAGAAGATGCTGATTTCTATTGGGAAGTTGGATGATTAGGGATTTGATATTAATTTCGATGAGGGACAATGGAAAGTTGTCACAAGGAATCTTGTAATCGCCAGAGGGGTACTTTATACATGGTTGAAGCTCCTGATGATGAGGTAAATGCAGTAACATTCATCCAGTTTACCACATGAGTGAAAAGAGAATGAAGATGCTCGTTGCAAGAGAAAGCTTCCAGGTTTGAAAAAGGTGGATTCTGAATTATGTGAACCTTGTTTACTTGGAAAGAAAACGAAGGTTTCTTTTGTGAAGACAGGACAGACACCGCAAACTTAGAAGCTGGAGCGAGTTTCGACAGATGTTTTTAGGCCAACACCAGTCTCTTTTTTGAGAGGGTCAAACTACTATGTGACCATTGATGATTCAACACGCAAGGTATGGGTCTATTTTCTTACCAATATAATTGTTGGGATTTGTTTCTACTCCACTATTAGGATTATTATTATTTTATTCATATCTATATGAATAAATTATAAGACTAATATAATACTAGAACTTTGGAAAATATATATTTTTTAAATTTAAATAAAAAAAGGTCGGAGTAATCATCGAGTTATCCAAATTAATCAATCCTACTCGCTACTCGGTTCTTGGTCGAGTTGCCACTGAGTAGCGATTTAACTACTTAGTCGCCGCATCCAAACTAACGGCATACTGATATTTTGATGCCGAATGCATGTCCTCTTGAAGTTCGTGTGTAGAGAAGGTTACCTGAACCCCTGTGGGTAAGCCCTAAGTTCGTGGGAATAGACATTAGAATTGACTAATATGATTCATTGACCATTCTTGTTTTCCATGATAGGAAATTTTTACGAAAAATCGCACTTTTGGTCTCTTAATTAGTCATCATATTGAAATTGTCATATTGAAATGTCAGGCCCGTGTTTCTAAGATCGGAAATATCACCCCCGAATTGACAAGTGAGTTGTAAATGTCATCCACGCCGTTTATTACGTAGTACTATTATTCTCAGCCTAATCTGCCTGGTCCTATCAGTTTGCGATCAGGAAGGTTTCTTTTTTCTGATTGACAAATTGAAAATGGATTTTGAGGAAAATATGGTAGGGGCAAGATGACAATGATATGATGCCAAATTGTTACGATCATGGTGGGGAGATGAAAAGAAGACGATTAAAAAGCTATGTAATTGCAACCCTGGACAAGGATGTCTCTCTGTTCCACTAAGCGCCCAAGAAGAATTTTTTTTTTTCAATATTGATGATCTTTGTTAATGTATAAAGAACCTCTATTTGTTGTAGTTCCAGTAGCCCTGGTGACCAGTATTAGAACACCCAAAACCTATTACATTACTTCTATTAGAAGTATTAACTAATATATAATACCTACCTATACTATATGCAAGGTAGTCAAAATCGCGAGTTTACTCGTAGGATCGTATGATTATACGATCCCCAGTAGCCTTTGCGATCCCGTTTCTACTGAAGATCGGAAAATTGTAAAATCGCTGGGATCGGCGTGTTTAATCGCAGAATCGTAGAATCGCAGCTGAGTCGCGATTCTATTTTATTATTTGTCATAAATTTGAAAGTCATCCGACTTTTAAGAAACGTCTGGAAAAAGAATCCCAAGGCGTCGAAACTTGTGGGAAACATGCGGATAGTTGAACGAAGCCGCTTTGAAATTTACAGAAACAGTCCTGCGTGAATCTCCTGTGCCTGCAATCTTTTTTTTTTCAAATTTAATATTTTTTCATCTCCATATCTTCTGCTGCTTCTGCGTCTAGTCCATACCTTCAATTCTTCATCTGTTGTTAGCTACTGCGTCGACCTCCAGGTAATTTTTATTTATATTTTTCAGTTTTTGTTTATAAGGTTTGGACTTTGGAGTTGTAGTATTAGAATCGTTCCTTTATAAGGTTTGGAGTTCGTTCTTTTATACGGAGTAATTAATAATATCTCCGTAGGAATTTTCAATTTAAAATAAAAGAAGTATTACCTCATAACATTAGTTTAAAATATTTTGCATTTTTATTAGTTTGTTACTTTGGTTTACGTCTTTTCTTCCCACCTTATTATTACGTTGGCAATTTATATGTTACTGTGATTCTTATTAGTTATGAGTTCTATTCAATATCTAATGATACATATATTTTTTATTAATCCATATATTATAACATATAATATACATACATATATAAAGTAGGATCTTACGATCCGAGTTACGATCCTATGATTTACGATCCTCAGGACTCCTACCGATCCTACGTAGGATCTCGAGTTTGACTACCGTGACTATATGAAAGTAATAAAAACAATAATAATAATAATAATAATAATAGTTGTTATTATTATTAGTATTATATAAGACTTCCTCTGCTCATATCACCTTACCTCCACTAGCTCTCTTGTTTTTGTGGAGGCGTCAGAGCGTGCTCTCACCATTTCCTCCTATTAAGATTAATAATTGGAAACAAAGTCAGAAAATTGAAGTTTAAAGCAAAAATAACTGGTTTTGGGATGCCTTAGATAAGCAAACCTCAGCAACTTGAAGAGCCCGCTCAGTTTTTTGTAATTTAGCCTTTTGCTCAAGGATGATATTCTGAAGCTGCACATTGAAAATAAGTCATAACCACATAAATTATATTTTTAAATTTTAAATCAATAAGTGGCACAATTTCCAAAATTATATACTTCATATTTTACCATTAAGGCATGTTCTCTTAGATTGAATTGTTGGTTTCGTCTATTTACATCTAATGTGATATGTTGAAGTCTGGTCGGGTCTTGTATAGTTTGCTTAGGTCTGGACTGACTGGTTTAAGTTGTAATACTACACATTGTGATACACACACAAATGGTCGTACTGTGTAATCCAGGATTCCAGGAAAATAAAAGACAGCCTTTGGTCCACCGGAACTCTTGGAACTTGTATAGAAAGAAGTGCTCATTCATTAAAATTCTATATCTAATTTTGGAATTGTTCCTTGAAATCTTGAGACACCACCTTGTGTTCCATAAGACAGAGACGTTCTTAAGCTTTATTGATCCCAATTTTTTTCTTTTTATCAAGTCCCAACCACGCAGACAAGAGAGAACATATCTTAATAATTCCCAACAAGAACCAGAGTGGCATATTACCATTACCACTTTTAATGAAGAAGGTAAAAGTAAATGTATAGTGTATAGAACATTCCCAAATAGGATTGCCCAATTATTTCCACTTTTTCCCACAGAAAATTATCAAAAGAAGTTTGATGTCATTTTCAGAAATTACAATGTAATAATAGACTACTTATATCCAGTAGACAGGATAAATGAATAAATTAACAAATCTACTACTTCTAAATATGTTGCACGAGAGATAAAAATATATAACATTCAAAGGAAAATTAAAAACAGGATTTTTTAGAAACTAAATGCAAATTTTAGAAGCTTACTGTCAGTATTTTTTCATTTGATTCAGACAGTTGCTTCTTTGTTACAATTTTCTGGGCTTCAAGCTCTTTATTCTGATCATTCTTCAACTCAATTTCCTTTTGACAGCTCTCAGCCTGTTTTTCTAAAAGATCAGCTCGTGCTTGTGCTTTTCCAACCTGATCGTGAGCATCCAATGACCCTTTTTTCTATGAAAATTAAAAATCCAAAGCGATGTATATGAAAACAAGCTTGATACATAGGGAAAATTTTTAGAATGCAAAAACTAGAAAGATGTCTGCACAGATATATGGCTCACCTGCAGAGAAGAAATTTCTGCTTGCAATGACGCGATTCTATCTGATTTCACTTTTATGGTGTTCTCCTTGTCGAGAATCGCCTGATCCTTTCCATTCAGTTCTTGACCCTTCTCTTCAACGTATGATTCTACATGTTGAATTGAAATTAAAAATACTAATGACTGATTACAATTTCTTGAAGACGCATGAGAGGAAAAGGCAAGCACATTAACATCTGTCTTGCATCCCGGGAGAAAGCATGACAAACTGTTTGTCGGGAACTACTAAATATCTTTTCTCTTATGTGCGTAATAATAATATCTAACTCCGCCATGAGACCATTCTTTGGTATTTGGGTTGTCCCAAGCCAAGATAAAGGAGGAGGGTGTTGTGGTAGGCGCATGACGGCCAATAGTATCACTTAGTCACATCACATCACATGAATCAAAATATGAATATCACTACAGTTAAGTCGTCGCAGAAGTGACGCCTCATCTGTTCGTAAGTGGTGGTGTCAAATATGTAAGGGCATGCTACACTTCATAGGCCTGAGTGTGTTGACAAGAATGATAAAGTTGCTAAATCGTTTCCCCAAAAGCAGTGTGCCACCCCCAATTGCCCGGTGATGGTGTCAAATATGTGAGGGCATGATGGGAGTTGAGGTGGTGATAAGAATAGAAGGTGGAGTCTCTTACGGAAAAATCATATGAGGAAGTTGAGATTATGATGAGGAGGAATATCAGCGTTATGTGTGTGGAAGAAACTATGTGGGTTTGAGAGGATGCATGAGAAATTTGTCCTGGAGGTTTTAAGGTGTGATATTCGGGGAGAGAGAAAACCAGAAATGGAGCAAACATTATTGTGGCATGTGACTATGTTGAGGATGTGGTGGAAGTCTTTAGGATGATTGACCGCATTATGAGCATAGCTGGTGATAGGGGATGAGCATTACTTTAGTTAGTATTCCTAATAGCAGTATTGTAACTGATTTAGAGTTACCCTCGTACTGGTCCATCGACACTCTTGGGACTAGTATAAATAAAGGTATATTCATTAATAATATGATCAAGGCTTGACGCCAACTTCTCTTGCCTAGGGAAGAAAAGTTCTTCATCATAGTTGATTTGAATCTTCATTTTTTCATTCCAAACCACGCCTGGGGCTTAGAAATAATTCATTATCACATTCACACTACCATTGGCGGATACAGGGCCCAGTGCACCCTTAATTCGAATTTGGATAGGAGAAGGATGAATAATTCCTTTATTTAAATTTTCACATCATCATCATCATTTTCATTTACCCCAGTGCCACAAAGGCACCCACCTACGGTGGGGTAAGGGGGTCGGATGCACGCAGTCTTACCCCTGTACTAAGCACAGAGAGACTGTTTCCGGATGACCCATAGTGAAAATCGCGTCCAAAATTGCATGGACTGACTGTTGCTTCATAACAAAGAAGCGCAGACAGTTTAGTGAGCCATTTTGCTTTATTCCACCATATTCTCAAGCCAAAAAATAATAAATCTTTGGCTCCATTGCAAATGATGGAAAAAAACTCAAAAAAGTATTTGACTGAAGTACCAGGGCCTGGATCACCCACATCCCCCTAGCTATACAGTTCATATTACTTTTTTTTTACAGATGCATTTCATACTACTTAAAAACTTCTTTTTCTTCAACACAATCCTACAAGCTTAGATGTGGAGAGTTCACCTGCCTGCAATGGAATTCTTTGAAAACCTGAGCAAAAGAGTAATATGCATTGGTATCATAGATCGTATTCCCTCCGTCCCTCTAAGATTGTCCCGTTTTACCATTTTCTTCCGTCCACTATTTTGTCTCATACCTTCTTTGGCAAATAACAGTAATTATAAAGACCAAAATATCTCTACTTAACAATTAAAGTTATGGAATTAACTCCACTATTCTAACACAACATTTAAAGTTACTGACATATCTACACCTACTTATTTCATATGTATTTCACTACCTGTTCCGTCATCATAATTGGAGCCCAGACATGGAAAAGTGGGTTTAAGAATTCGGTTTTGGAGTTCCCTCATTTGCACAGTAGTACGACAAGTTGTATTCCTTCAAATTTACTTTGTTAATTTGAAAAATTGATTTAACAAATATGTCCCAGCCAGCTACTTTATGAGGGCTAACTTGGTATGTTTGCCACTCCCTCTTGTAACAAACATAGGGGGGCGGAGGGAGTATTAGCTAAAGTTTCTTCCATCTCCTCTGCAGCACTCTACAACAATACCTATCTGTGGAAACTCTTATGGTTGAAAATGCAGATTGTCATCACAATGCTAAAACCGCTAGTTAGAATATATCATTTTGAAAAGGGAGGGTCGGCCAGAGATTTTGAATTGTGAACTCTATGAGAAGAAAACTTGGAACTACGCCAGCCATAAGTTCAGCTAATAATTAATTCAAATAACTTAATCGGAAGCATAGTTCTAAAGACAAACAAACCGGTTTAGCAAATAAGTAGATACTCTGTGATAAATCAAAACAAAATTGTTCAATGAATCATATAGATAAAAAAACGTCAACAAGGGTTTAGCGTGAGAGAGGTTGTGAACTAACCCAAAGTACGGATCTTAGACTTGAGACTTTTCAATTCGGTGGAAAAATCCTGACAATCGGATCTGACGAACTCAGCCTCAGTATCGGCGCCGACAAGAGTGCATGTTAGGGCCACAAGGATGACGAGTGCGACAGTCGGTCCGCGCCAACCCAAACCCCCAGCCATATCTGAAAACGAAGACAGCGAAGTTCCTGCGATCGGCACACAGTTGCGTCTTACTTCGACGCATGCGAACGGTTGTTCCTTTCCATAGAAATACAACACCAATTCAATTGGTCAACTTTAAGGGCGTCCCCTATTTGAACTAAGGGAGATTTTAATCGAGTTTGATTCCAACCAGATTATTAGGGGTCTCTATTTGGATTTGGAATGGATGAAAATAAAGTTGTTCTCAAATATTAAATGAAATTTCTATCGTTACTTATTTGAATGGATTTTTATAGATTTTGATGTATTTCTAGATATATAAACATTCAACCACAAATCTTGTAGAATTCATCATATTTCAAAACTCATGATCTAGAACCATTTCATATGTTTTGGTTTATTAAGATAGGGAAAACTGTCAAATAGGTCTTCGAACTTTCATAAAAAAGTTAATTAAGTCCTTCTATAGGAGGTTCTGTCCGGTCGTCGCGATTTGGGGCGGTTCCCGGTGGAATATTTTGATGAAATTTTTTGACCATCTTATTCATCAAGTCTAGTTTACGCATACCAAATTTTAGCTAAAAATTTAATCGGGAGCGCATTCAAATTAATTCGAGAACGCAAAAATGCGCAGTTATCTTCAAGAATTAATTTGAATGTGTTCCCGATTGAATTTTTAGCTGAAATTTGGTATGAGTAAACTAGACTTGGTTAATAAGATGCTCAAAAAATTTCATCAAAAGATTCCACCGGGAACTGCCCCAAATCGCGACGGCCGGACAGAACCTCCCATAGAAGGACTTAATTGACCTTTTTTATAAAAGTTCGAGGACCTATTTGACAGTTTTCCCATTTAGATATGAACCGTTTCATGTGATTTGAGATGAATCATTTCCGCTACACATTTAATTTATTCATACCGATTCATGTCTCAAGCTGGTATTGGTGTTGTTTTCTTTTTGGCGGATCTAAGCCAATCCGCGACTAAAAGCAACGGTTTTACATTTAAAAAATTCAGCGGTTTGAAGCAACCGCCGTTTTCCAAACGGGCCCATTGATAGTGATGGACAGTTTACCCGGGGGGTAGCTTATCCGGGGGGTATTATGAGAATAACCTAGAGAGAAGTCAGAGCAAACAAGTAGGAGAGAGAGACGATTGTATTAATGAACTCGAGATGTTCTGGTCCTTTACAATGGGAAAAGGGGGTGCTATTTATAGTAGTAATAAATGCGATGAGAGTACACGTGGCGATAATCTAACGGCCGATGGGTCTGTGACACCGCACCCGAATGTCCTTGGAAATTTGATTTGAATATTCATAGCTTATGTATTGGATTTCCGATTCCCAAACATTTTGTAAAACGATCAATGTTCTACGTAGTGCATGGTTGAATATCGTACTGTTCAAACTCGTACATTAGTGTCGGGTTTCGCAAATACTTACTCGGGACTTATTAATAAATAAAAAAGCCCAACATTACCTAAATAGTGAAAGAATGATTAAAGGAGAATACAAATGTCTATAACCCCATCTTTGGCATTATTGAGCTAAATAATGGGAGTAGGATTTTCCTTCTAAAATATCCATCAAGTAAATTATTGGGATGAGCCTACACATATTGGAGATCAATAATGTGATTTAGGAAGTTGACTTGTTCTAAATAAATTAGGATGAGTACAAAAAGACATCTTTGACAAAGATAAAACAATAGGACCCATCTTCCCATTTTTTGGAAGTATTGGTAGATATTTTGGACCCCAAATTTAATGGGATCAATTGGGAACCACTCCACATGATATTAGTACCTGCAAAACAAATAAAAATGGGTTAGAAGACCTACCTTGGCCGGCCATAATGGAGGGGAGCTGCACATGACTTGATAGGAATCAAAGCTTGGGCCACCATCCTTATTTTCGCACAAATTGGTGTGCTGTTTGTCTCCTCTCATTATAGAAGCTATACTCGACCAAACAACGTGAATAATATGTCCTTGGATAGCCTTTGAAGTCTATTATCTCAATTGAGTGGTCTTTGTTCGAGGAGAGAAGGCTTATCTTACAAAAATCGAGCTGGAACGAGCAGAGGTCTGTGAACTCGAGCTGTGAGAGTGCTGAGACTGTTTGGTCGATATCTCGAGTTTTACAAATCCAATTAAGGCGTGTGAGATACCCACAGAAAGCTCTCAAGACGAGGAATCCGTGAAGGTCTGGTTTGCAGGAATCGGAGTTGTGTAAGGCTTCCAAATCGTCCGAGAAAAACACAACCTCGCAGGAGAGGATTTAATCTTCTAAAAGTGAGTTTTAACCCCAAAACTTTACTTTTCATTTTCCAAATGATATGAACGATTGGTGGGACTATCATACACTAATCCAAGTGTATAATATGTCCTTATAAAGTTATTTTATTGATGTAAAGGTTAGATACTAACCTAGAACAAATCTTGGAAAAACTAGGAAACGAGTTGACCGGGAAACACCCGTTCTAGGGGCTGTTTTCGTATCAACGATTAAGGGTTGAACTAGCACTTTGAGGAGGCTGTTTAACACTCATATTTGAGCAAGGAATCAGTTCCAAATCCACCTTGACCAAAGCTTTGACCATTGGACCAAGAAGGGAAAGTTTAAAGCTCAATTGAGGTGAGGATTGACATCTAATTGCTTACAACTTGTAGGTTAAGCATGAGATTACCTAAATGCTTAAATCATGATTTTTCATGGATTATGATGATTATATATTGATGAAATATTGATATAGTTGCCAAAGAATGAAATTTGAAATGATTTGAGAAGGTATGAATAATATGAGATTAAATGAGTATAAATGAACTATTTGTGAAAATGGGCATTTTTCTCATGTATGAATTATGTGGATACATAAATGAATATTTGTGTATTGAGAATGAATGTTTAAGTTGCTGCTACATAATTATAAATATGTAGAGAATTACAAATAACAAGGATAATGGTTTGATAGCAATAATCTTAATAGTATTGAAATACTAGTTAATGATTATTGGGATTTATTGATTAAATTGATCCTAGGGATTGGATTGTATGAAAGGTGCTTGAATATAGTTCAAGTGTATATAATAACTTAGTATGGAACTAAGGTTAAGTTATGGGAAGTCTTTAAGGATGACCCATGGTAGTTTAATGATATGTCAATTCTAGGCATAGGGTTGCTTGAGAATTGGACCTTAATGCATGGTGATGTGATAGAGCCGAGCTCTAGAATGCATGTAAGGGTAGACTTGGAGTCTATGTATTGTATAGCTAGAGCCGAGCTCTAGGACTTGCGTGGTGATGTGGTAGAGCCGAGCTCTAGAACGCAAGGTAAGGAAATTGACCCGAGGTATATGAATTGTATGGTGATGTGGTAGAGCCGAGCTCTAGAATACAATGTCATGTACTAGGGTTGGACTCTAGGAGTTGTCGTGGCTTATAGCCACGGGGTTGGGAATGGTGATTTCCAAATGAAAACGGGCCCACGGGCCGACTACTTGACTTTTATATAAAGTAAGTATATTTTTAAACGGGGTAACTTAGGGTTACAATCATAATGTACTATCACCCTACTTGAGGGTCTTGTGTTTGAAATACTTGTTGTATATCTATTAGATGCCTGCCACACCAGTACTTTATAGCCGTATAGAGTACTGACCCCTTCGGGGGCGTCCCACCACAATTTCAGGTTGAGGCTAGAGCTTGCTTCCTGTGCTCGTTGATCGAGTGATTCCTTGGAGAGAAGACTTGGTTCGTGCTTCCTCCATTCTGTTTTTAAATAATATTAAACTTGCTCATGGATATTTTACTTTAGAGCCTGCGTGCTCATGTTTGCCCTGTGTGGCCCTTTTGTTTTAAACAATGTTTTCCGCTGCGTATTCAATTGTTTATTATGTATGTTTATGGATGACTTATGTGTGAATGATATTCATGACGCCTTGTATAATATGAATGTGTTGGACTGCGGTTGACTATTCGTATTGTACGGCGGGTTGTTGACGTGTCCGGGGAGGTCCGGGGCGTGACAATTAAGTTGGTATTAGAGCCTTAGTCCATAAACTTCATAATGGAGTCTCAAAATTCTCTTTTTGAAAAGATTTTGAAAACCATGAGCATAGAAGTTTTGTACTTGGAGAGCTTTTGGTACTTGGGTTGCAAGGTCTCTAATTGCTAAGATGGTACCCTTAGCAATTGGTATGGCGGTGACTCGAGCCAAGTGTGTCTTAAGTACCTATCCGTCAATTGACATTTGATACGAGTCTAATGACTCTTTCCAAATTTCTTTCAGAAATGGACCGTGGTGGCAGGATTACTAGGAGAAACCCGACGGGCCGTGTACCAGTGGAGACTGGACAGGGCAGTCGAAGGACCTCTAGGGCATCTAGAGGAGCTGGCCGTGGAGGCCGATCACAGACCGTGAGTGACGGTCATGTTGACACAGAAAGTGAAACCTACTGGTCCTATGAGGACTCGACTTACCAACCGGAGACCGAGCCGGTTGAGACCCCTTACGAAGGGGATGACGATGATATAAGTGATGAAGAAGGGGAGAATGACTCCCTAGTCAGAATTGAGGCGCTGCTCCAGCAATACCAGCGGGAGCGCGAGGAAAGGAGGGAACGCCGAAGGCGCCGAGGAGGGCGAACTTCGGGTGGGGCTTCAAGAGGAAGAAGTCATGGCGACTCTAGGGCCCACATTGAACCACATGGGGGCCGGGGTGATGGGGGTCCGATCATAAGGATCTCCAAATACCTCAAGGAGGCACGAGACTTGGGGTGCAAACCCTTCAATGGAGCGGGTGACATCTCGATCGCCGCGGAATGGATCAAGAGGTTGAACGAAGCAGCCCTTGATATGCAACTCACCCCCGAGTTTAAGCTAAGGGTGGCGGTGAGGTTGCTTGAAGGGATGGCATCCACATGGTGGGACGGAGCCAAGGGAAAGTATGGCAATACCGTGACTTGGGAGGATTTCCGACAGGAGTTCTTTGCCCAATACTATTCAGATTTTGAGGTGAACAATAAGAGGAGAGAGTATACCCTCCTAACCCAAGGTGGCACGATGACGGTGAGGCAACTTGAACACAAATTCAGGGAACTCGCGGAATTCATACCGGAGTACATATGTGATGAAAACCGTATGGTGAATCATTTCTGGGACGCCTTGGACCTTGACATACGCGAGAGGGCAACACAATTGCCTAATATGACGTTTAGTCAAGTGGTCGAACAA